GTGCTCCCTGTCCGCTGGAGATTCAGTTGTGGTTTTTGTTGGAAACCGAGAACAGGGAAGCTTTGCTGAGCAGCCTCCACAGGGATAGTCACCGGAGCTTAAATTTAGATGCGGTCAAGTCTTTTTCATGTCTGTGCGAATTATTTTAATAAGAGGTTATCTTCAGTTCTAGTGAAAATGCCTTTGTCGTCATCTTTGAGATGCACACGGGTGAATGTGGCTGTAGCATTTCAATCCGGTCTTAAGCTTTCAGATCAGTGCTATGAGTTGCTTTACGGCATGAACGCCACTCATGCCAGGCAGCAGGAAAGCACCGGTTAATCTGAAGCATAAAGAAACCATCCTGCCAAAGGCCTTCGGTGAATAATGTATTTCAAGACAAAAAGAAGGCACGTGCAGTTATCTTCCTTTGTAGAAGAAGATGGGTAAGAACCCTCGATGGCTCACACAAAGCAATTCTGCCACTGATTGTTTGTAGAGATCCTTAGTCTTCAGTTTTTTTTGATAGCTTTGAGTCTTTGATCGACTGTTGCTTATTACTTACAACCCTAGCGCACATCAATCGGAACAACATCTATGTTTTGATTGGTTGGAATTCAACGTACATGTCAGTAACATACCTGCCAACCCCCGAGGAGTCTCCCGTATTTCGAGGTAATCTCCCGGCGCCCTCCCGTTTTGCAGTTTCTCCCAGGAGACCCTCAACTTTCATTTATAAATAATCTTCATGCACACAGCCATACGTTTTATGTTTGTCTAAAAACCCCACTCCGGAAAAATGTCTTTAAACCTAAATGTTGGCAGGTTTGCAGTTATTTGGGGGGTAGAAAGGACTTACCTGCATTCCTGCAAATATTTTCAGCTTCATCTTTTTTCATTCTGTTTCATTTTACATTTCTTTAGACGTGCAGCACCAGAATGTGTCCAAACTTGGGACCGGTACTGTATATCGTCTTTTAAATTCAGTTTGCTGTAGATTCGTTCTCGTCTCGATTGTGACGACTCAGACGAGGTGGTCTCGCCTGCAGCTCCACTGATTGCTTTGCAGTCTGTCTGCCACATGTTTTGAAATATTACTCAAAAGTTGAGGAACTCAGCACACACTCCGAGCATTTAATCTCCTTTTGTCAACATCTTCCTCCCATTGATATCCATTCCATTCTTCACCTCACCCTGTTCTCAACATTTCAACCGTGACACAGTTGGCCGTGCCACTATTTTTAGAGAAGTGGTCGGCCCGTGGTAGCCAAACATAAGGGCGCTGACCTGCCCAGCTTGGTTTGTGCGGGTGGAAGTGAACCTGAGATCTCCTCCGCCGGTGTTGACTTTGGAAAGCCTCACTGTTGTTAAACGAGGAACTTTCGGCGCTGTATTACAGTGGTGGCCTTTTTACATGCAGGTAGCTGAGGCGCTCTCGTTCCTACTGTGCAATTATTTTTGCTGTGTAAGGTGATTATCTCCAGAAACCGACGCAAAACAGGAGGAAGTAAGAGGCTTTCTTAAAATCTCCCTGAGGTTTTGGGTGTAAGCTTATTTCGACTCAGCACCCCCCGGGAAGGGACCTCGTCAGAAACGGGCTTCCCGACAGTTGCAGGCGGCCCTGGGAAGTTTGGACGCTCGCCAAATGTGCTCCGATTCGTGTAACTCGGCAGGCAGCAGCAGTCGGAGTCGGAGTTGGACTCACGCCATTCATTCACGTGGTATCCTGTTGTTTTAGGCTTGTCATGATAGCCCCTGGTGCATGATTGAAAACATGTTGGAGTAGCTGGTGTCTATTACTGGTGGGCAAAGCGGGGGGGGGGGGGGGGGGGGGCAGTGTCCCTATTAAGGCAATTGACTGTCAAAGGCACTGAAGCAGCATGAAAGAGCAGTGTGTTAAATAGTCATGTCATACTTAACTGATTTCTATAAGGCTTTTTTTCACCCTGACATTTGACCTTCAAAAGAAAAGAGAGGGAAGCTGTCCATCATCTGTTTGGTGGATGACGATACATTTTAAGGTGTTTTGATTTCTGTGGTAAGGTCACATTTGTGAGGTTTTGGCGTGATTTGTTTGGTTTTCCTTCCTCTGCTCTTTTTTTTTTTTTTTTTTTTTTTTTTTTTTAATTGGACGGTGCCGTGTTAAAAAGTTCCGGTTTGCCGTGACACCGCAACGTGCCCCTCCGACTCCAGCACATCTCCTCGCCTCTCTAAACTGAACCAGATGGAGCCTTTCCATATAAAACTTTCACTCCCTTTTATGTCTTGCACAAAGCAGGGAGCCATTAGAAAAAAAAAAAAGGGGGGGGGGGGTTACATGTTATATTGTGTCCAGTTAATGAAGTCCAAATGCAGTAAGACTCATCTGTGTCTCACAAAACAAAACATTTGATAGAACACATACAGCTCCCAACGCTGAGTACGATCATAGTCTTTGAAGAAATCCTCTGTCACTGATTCATATCTGTCCTGTATTAATCCTGCTGTCAGCCCTTTCTCTAATGTTACAAACGACACCCTATTAATACACTGTAACACCCAACTCAACCGGTCAGAGAACAATGCTCTAAACACTTCAAAACTCCACTGATCAAAAGAAGCACTAGAAGAGATTTACTGTAACGCTCAGTGTGTCAAACGCTGGGGTCATGTTGTTTGAAGGAGAGTGGACTTTTTCTTTTTTTTTTACAGTGGTTGTCATGTTTGTGGGAGATGCTGTCAGCCTCCTGCTGTCCACACCAGTGATATACATTGATTCAGTGTCTGTTTCTTGTTACACACAAGCAGCCTGAAACCAATTTTGTGGCTGCTTCCAGCAGCTGCTCACCATTGCCAATTTGGTTTCTTCAAGTTAAGATATTTCACACACTTTCACCAACCATTAATAATCTACAGCATCAACTGTGTTGGGAGAGTTACTTAAGAACTAATTAAATTCACATTACACATTACTCATTGAAAACACTTTGCTAATTACTCAAATGTTATATACTCTGCTGTATATTACTCTGCTGTCAAACGTCAGCAGCATCAAAGATGCCTCAAACAACTCCAAACCCTCCACACCCACACGTCGCATCCTTTGTATTTAACACATGTAAAAATGGAAAAAAACAAGACAGCACAGTTTAACAAGCAGGCAGACCTAAACTGTGGAGGGATTTACTGAGCATCCAGCAGCTAGCTTAGCCTCGGTGACCGCTCACAGATCTCCAGACGTCCCCACTTCAGAAGCTCAGTCACACACTCTCCTAAACTCTAAAACAGAGGTGACCCCTGAAAGTACATCAACAATTTGCCACATCAACCAATCAGGACCACATAACATTTAAATAAGACAACTTATCTGAGGAATCACCGTTAGTCGTTTCTTCATGTTTGGCGGAGGCGACCACCTCCCTGTGCGCCGTATCACAACCCTATCCCAGACCAGTCCTCCGGTCACGGCGAGACCAAACTGATATCAGTCCTCCATCCAACCTCCAGTAACACAGCCACCAAGCTGACTCTCGAATGTCAAAGTGCCGGTATTGCTAACACTACAAGTTACTGAATGAAGTAATCACATGACTGCAACAAGTTACTAAGTAAAGCATTACGGAGTCGGACTAATGTGGATAATATCACACACTTTCAAATAGTTTCTCCTTGGAGACCTTCTCAGTGTTACTCTACTTTCTTACCTCTGCACACTTGGACATTTGCTGCATCTCAGATTCCCCCTTTCGAAATGTTACAAAAACTGTCGGTTGTAGCCGCCCAGTTCCGACATCGGAAAAGGTCCGGGTTTTCGAACACTCTCTGAACGCCCGACAAGCACTTGGAAGCAAACCGAGGCCCTGACATCACTGGATTGTCTGGATATGAGCAAAGGTCTCCGGGATTCATTTGTGTGTAATGGATCCAGCCAGTGTCTGAGTCATTAACATATATACTGAAGTATGGATGAAGGTATAATATAAATATTTATGAATACCAACCAAAAATAAGCAGGAATTGAATATCATTTCGCAATACATATGTATGTGTATATAATACGCACATGTATGAGGCTGGTGTGTTTTATGCTGCAGTGTCCCTATCAGGAGGAATAAAAAAGAAAGGCAAAGAGTGAGTGTGGCCAAGAGTCACTCAGACACAGTCCAGTCTCAGGCAACGAGCAACCACTGCAACAACCAGCTTAAAAGCAGAAAGCAGTTGAGCTACAACAATAACTTCAGTGTGGTACCTGATTAAAAGTTTGCTTTTTTTGCTAATAAAGACACCTCCAACCTCGTCCGCCAGCTGTTCACACTGGAATTTTCCTTTTCTTATTTCAACCCTTTAAGATTTCCTTATTATGTACAACTCTTAGGGCTTTTTCCCCTCTCACATTTTTACTATTGCTCTCATGGAAGGGAGGGGCAGCTCCAGATGTAGACAGAGAGAGAGCGTCTATTTCCAGTGTTCAGCGTTAGCGTGAGCAGAGAGAGAGAGAGAGAGAGAGAGGGGGACAGAGAAAGAGAGCTGTTTTGACAGTTGTGTTGGGGAACACTGAACACACACACACACACACACACACTCAGCCAGGTCTCTGTAATCACGGTTTTTGCCGAGTGGTGGTTATACCTTCCAGAGGAGTTCACGCCCCCTTGAACTGTTTTGGCTGACTTTGTGGTGTACACTTCTGACAGTGAGCGAGTGAGGGAGAGAGGGAGAGAGTGAGGGAAGGGGAGGGAGCAGTGTTGCTTGTGGGAGGAGAAGGAGGAGGGAGTGAGCTGGAGGAAGGAGAAGCCCTCTCAGTTTCTGTGAGCCCTGCTTGCTGTAGGCTACAGAATGAGCGCAGTTGCTTTCCTCTCAGTCTGAGAGGCAACTGCTGTTTTTTTTTTTCTTTTTCTTTTCTTTTTTTTTTTAGTTTTTCCTTCCGTTCCAGTGCCAGACATCAGTGGGAGACTCTGCAGATTTGTTTCCCCTTCCCTCACAGTACTTTTCTGGACCTCTCTCCCCCTCCTGTGTTATTATTTTTGTGCTTGGGAAGTACCATGCCGGTGGTTGGCGTAGCCTCCAAGCTCAGGCAACCCTCCACAGTGGGCACGAAACCGGTGCACACGGCTCTCCCCATCCCCAGCGCGGTCAGGGCGGCCGCCTCGCAGGGCTACATGGCCCGACAGCAGGAGCTCAGGGCAGGTGAGGGCACCCCGGGGCTCTCCTGCCAGCTGTCAATCAAGTCTGATTACCAGCAGGAGAGGACGCCTGAAGGGAAGTCCAGAGCTGAGACGGAGGAAAGCAAGATCTGCAAGGTTAGTGGAGACACACACACTCTTGCTGTGTGTGTGTGTGTGTGTGTGTGTGTGTGTATAGGAAGCGTAGTGAAGCTCCACAGGTGTCAGGGATGAGCGAGCCAGCAGTGTCTCTCTGTCTGTCTCTGTCTGTCCCGCTGGTTTCCTCCATCGGGCTTTGCGCAGGTGTCTGGCCTCGCTCTGGGCTCGAGCACACGCGAATGACTCATGTGTGAGATGATGTCGCTGGTTTGTGATCATCAGAGAAGAGGGGAAACTAGATGACTAACGTATCACTGGCAGTGTATTACCTCATCCTGCTGCCCATTCACTCTGTATATAATTTACTAATGTGTGTGTGTGTGTGTGTGTGTGTGTGTGTGTGTGTGTGTGTGTGTGTGTGGAATGGAAAGTTCAGGGATTGTGTGTGTTGGAGTATTTAGTGAAGACTATTAAGATCCCCACCTGTGAAGTGAACCGTGTCAGCTCCTCTGTGGGGAGGGAGACTAATACAGAGGTAATGTGCTACCTGAGAAGCCCCACAGATGAGGGGAACATGGTGTGTATACAACCCCCCCCCCCATCCTGTCTCCTTATGCAGGGTAATATTTCAGATAGATTACCAGTGTGCCCCCCTCGCTCCCAGACTATATTCTCAATATCTCCAACAGCGTCAAAATGTTGCAGATGGTTTAATGGACGCACAGAGATCATTGTTAAGTGCTTCGCCATACTAAACTCCGTCCCTGCCAAGTTCTTTCCTTTTTGCAGAAATGTTTGGCTCAGGTTCTTCAGGCTGCAGCAGAGAAGGCGGGGTAGGTCCAATCTTGAGGAGGAAGGAGTTTTCAAAACTCCCCGCCAAATAGTTTCAGCGGCGCCTCGGCCCGTCCCACATCCAGAGCTGTCAGAGCACAAACTGAAACTTTCCTGTTTGGCCGGTTGATCTCTCCCCCCTCCCCTCCTCTCCGCCCGCTGCTGCCTCTTTCTACCGTTACAAGACTTCCTGAAAGAGACAAAAAAAAAAGAAAAGAAAAGACTCCCTGACCCTGATTCTTTTTCTGGCTCTCAGACTTCTGATACTGAACAAAGCTGCTGATTTTCCTCGTGACCCAGAGGAAACATGGGCAGAAGACATCAAAGCACGGGTCAGTGCTCCCCTGCCTCTAAATCCTCCCAGCATGTCCGTGACTGAGTCCAAATCGCCTGCAGGGTGATTATGAGAAGGGGGTGTGTGTGTGTGTGTGTGTGTGTGTGTGTGTGTGTGTGTTTCATCATTAACCTGCTGCTGAACTGGCAACTTCAGCTTGACTTTCAGCTTGTTAACGCAACTGGGTTCTTAAAAACCTCCTGTTTGGTCCATTAAAAGTAGCTGTTAGAGTTTGAGGAAGATGAAGCTGAAGACCAATGTGTCAGCATCCATCTCCCATCATGCTCTGAGAACTAAACCTTTCATGCAGGTTGTATCGGACCTTCCCTCTCAACTCGTACGTACAACTTGTTTCACGTTTAATTCATTTCAGTCCATTTTCTTCAAGCTCCTCTGTAGCAGAATTGCTGCAGTTACACTGTGGCTCTGACCTTTGCCCTGCTTCTGCTTTCTAAGACTATTCCCATGCTCTTATTGATGGAGCATCAGCTAAATTGCCTGACATGTACAATCACTGGACCTCTGTAACAGTCCCTGTCGTTGGAAAGCATGGGGGAGGCAGGCAGAAAAGCCTTGCCTGTCCCAGCCTGTTGGTGTGGGTGAGGAATGGGTGGTATGGAAGGGGTAATTAGTCTGTCTAATTGTGTTGTGTAGTCCCTTAAGAGCTTTACTCTCTGGGTTTTCGGAGGAAAACAGGCAGAGGAGGAGGAGGAGGAGTAAACGCTGTCATTACTCCTTTACGTTCACCAGCACTCCTTGTTTAGTGTGGAGTCCTATTATCGAGCGGGATCAAGCGTAGGACTGTGTGTGTGTGTGTGTGTGTGCATGCGTGTAGTGCATGACTGCATGCTTGTTTGCACACATGCCCCCCCCTCATATATATACAGTAGTGCCAGCATGTGTTGGCTTGTTTGCCTGAGGTTAAACATCCTAACCTGAGTGGTGTTTGCCAAAGTATGAATGACTTTAGTTAGTTAGTTTTGGTGGAAAATTCCACCTGTCTGGTCAATAAAGAGGTGAATAGTAAAAAGAGTATTTGTCCCATGTTATAATGGCCTCAGCATGGAGCTACTGTACCCAGTGCCTGCAGAACGATTATGACACAAGTGCAAGAAAAATAAATGAGGGCTCAGCGCTAAGGAGAGAGGAAGAAGGGATTTGTTTTCTCTTTGCTGTGGTGTTTGCAGAAGACAGCAGGCCTGATGTTGTTTTGCGCAAAGCCAAGGAGGAAGTCCAAGTGAATCTTAAGACAAGCTCCGCTGAAACAAATCCGATCTGTAGCTCAGCCCGAAGCTGAAGGCTGAAGGCCCAACCGCTGCGTTGGGACTTAGATGTTTCACATTTAACACACGTCGCCCTGGTGGAAGAAGTGCCGCTGCTCATTGAATGCCTGCTGCCAGGGGAAGTGCGCAGAGCCGATGCTACCGGGGTGTGTAACGGTGTATAAAGGGCACGAGCAGGCTAGACGAGGTTAATGTTGGACACCATTCAGATTCAGTTGTGCCTGATCTCAGCAGTATTATGACAGCCCACTTTTACTGTGTGAAGATAATCCCACGTGGATCAGCACAGCAGGCTACACCTAGTTTCATGGGAGTGTCTTTAAGTTGTGTCTGGGTTTGTGTGAGCACAGGGATGTGTTAACTTACTGTAGATACTGCAGAGCTCAACTGAACATGATGCACAGCTGTCTGGTTTGGGAATACAGTGTATATTGCCTGAACTATTGACTGCATTTAGTTAACTTGACTAATCTAACCATTAATATAATGCATTTAACCACTTGCACATGGTCTACAACTATCAACTGTCAAGATATTATTAGATTAATTAGTGTAGATGGTAATTGTGGATTGCTGTCACCATTAGGAAATTTGGTAATATGAAAAAAGTAGATATAGGTATATAGTTTACCATAAACTAATGTACAAAGTGCTGTGAGTCTATAACCTCCCTGGCTTACTTTGCATGACTGATGTTCACATACCTCCAGTTTCTCTGGTGGTGTTGTGCAACACCTGCGCTCTCATAATCCATATATGACTCTGGGCTGTCAAGGATTTTCGGACTTCCCTTCCACGATGGAGACGAGAACAAGGCAAGACGTTTGCTCTTCCTGTTGTTCTCTCCTCTGACAGTTCATATCAGTCACTGCCTCTGGCTCTGCAGGATGACGAGCTTATCTGAGGCGACTGGGCTTTAATGAAGTGTCAACGCCATCGCCACCACTGATAGGGAATTATCTTGTGCATCAAGAGTTCTGGCAGCTGTCCAAATCAGGCCGCCCGGGGACTTTTGGGTAATTTACAGTTCTTTTTGAGATAGGGCTGAAAATTGCATCACACCTTTTTTTTTCTTCTTAAATCTGCAGTATGGCAGAAGAACAAGTGATGTTGACTGTATTTATCTTCGTTTATGCTTGAAGAATTCCATGGGTGCTTAAGGGATTTACCTAAAGTTATGTCTGTTCAGTCCTTGATGCTTCCCAGCAAATGCCGTCTGATGCCTAAGTATCACATTTAAGTTTATGACAGTCAAGTGCAACCCTGTCTACTACTACAAATTATATTTCTATATAACTAAACTGTAACAACAAATAAGTTTTGTAGGAAACTTTATCGCACTTGGATGATGTTTTGTATAAAAGTAAACAGGGTATGTTTTCATCTTGCTGTACAATATCCACTTGAAGTGACTGCAGCATTATTACACTTTTTCTATGGTAATGTTTGGGCTGGTTTAATACAGAAAAGGCTCACAGTGACTTTAGACACAAGCTTTTTATTTACATTTAACGAAAACCACAATCTATCCCTTACCTTAACTGAAGTGCTTTTGTTACCTAAACCTAGATGTGACTCTGGATGTGAACCCTGGTCTACATCCACCCCAGCCACCTCCTGGCAATTATGCTGCTCTTATTGAATGTAGTGCGTAATTCATTTAAAAAAATATGTTGCCTGGCTACATTTCCTACAAAACATGTTTGCTGTTGCAGTTTAGTTGTGTATGTAAATTCTCAGAGACAGGGTTGTCTAGCCTGCTCCTGTAACCTCTTTTTCTTTAGTTTTTTGGTCCTAACCCTGAGAATATGGCCAATTAGTGAATTGAGATGAAATTTTGGTCAGGTCAGCTTCCAAACACCAGTTAGTTTAACATTTAGAGTCACACAAAAGTCCCACTTTTTATTGTGCACTTATTCTAACCCTAACAGTAAAATGTTTGGGAAACTCAAGCTGAGCCTTCTTTTTACAGGTCTCATAACTATTTTTTATAAAACATAGAGAGTATAAAAAATACAATGGTTGTATAGGCTTAAAAAAACAATTAGGTGCAGGATTAATGCACAAATACCTGAGGACTGATTTTGAAGTTATCTTTCTGTGCTGACAGTCTACACTGTTATGCCCTCTCTTCTGTCTGGATGTGTGTTATCTCAGAAATGCAGCTCATTGTATACGTGTTGCAGGCTGCTATTTAAGCTGGCCTCTGATGTGGGAATGTTGCTCCTTGTGAATAACTACATACGTGTTTGCCGGAAGTGCAGCTTAGTGCCAAACACACTCAGCCACTTAAAGAACAAAAAACATCCTGCCGATCCTCTCTCTCTCTCTCTCTCTCTCTCTCTCTCTCTCTGTCTCTCTCTCTCTCTCTCTCTGTCTCTCTCTCTGTCTTTCTCTCTCTCTCTCTCTTTTTCTCTCTCTGTCTCTCTCTCTCTCTCGTGTACATGTGGTATGTACACTGAGGAGTAAGCAGAATAATCAGGGTCTATTATTGTTTTATTTGTTTGTTTGTTTTGTGCAGCTCATACTCTGACCTGATAATACTCAAGGCAACAATATGGGTTGGTTCGAATTAAGAAAGTGAGGCAGAG